AGTCAGTGTTGGTAACCTGTATCTTTCTAGAAATTTGTTTATTTCGTGGAATAGTTTTCTATTTGAATAGAATTCTTCATAATATTTCCTTATAATCCTTTTTATTTTATAAGGTTGGTAATGATGTCCCTCTTTCCTTCTGATGTCAGCAAAGTCCTTTTGTCATTTAAAAGAACATTCATATGTTCCAGGGATTGTACTTGTACAGTTTCCAAGGGTGTCTTCCCAAATATTTTTATTACAAAAGGAAAGAGTAACTTTATAGTAGAGAAACCTGGTACACATTACCTAAACCGTGATCAAAATTAGTATCAGCAGAGCATGGTGGCACACGCATGTAATCCCAGTTACTAAGGAGGCAGATACAGGAGTACCATGGTTCAAGGACAGCCTGGAAAAAATTAGCAACACTCTATCCCAAAAACAGCTGCCATGGTGGTGCAGACTTGTAATCCCACATATGTGAGAGGAAGCTGTAGGAGGTTTGTTATCATCTGAGGCCAGCCGGTGCAAAAGTGGGAGATCCTACCTGAAAAACAAACTAAAGCACAAAAGGGCTGGGGAACTGACTCAGTCCCTGGCTTCAAGCTCCGGTACTGCCAAAAAAATAAATTATCAGCCGTCGTTAAGATATGACACGCAGAGAGGCCACATCAGTATGAGGAGTTCTTCCCTCTAAAACCTGTGATCTCAATCTAGGATTAGGAAAACATTAGGCAAATCCAAGCTCTTGGATATTCCACAAATACCCAACTTACTGCCAAACCAAAATTTATACAGAATTTTGTCCTGTTTTCTCCTAGAAGTTATAGAGTTTCGTGTTTTACATTTAAGTTTACAATCCGTCTTGAGTTAGTTTTTTCATAATGGGTGAAGTCTATTTCAAAGTTTTCTTTTTTCTTTTCAATATGAATGTTCAATTGTCCTAGCACCATTTATGTTGAAAAGTCTGTCTTTCTCCACTGAATTGCCTTTTTATCATCAAAAGTGAATCTATTTCTAGTGTCTACAGTCTGTCCTAATGATCTGTAAGTCTATTCTTTCATCAGTACCATGTTGCCTGCTTTCCACTACTGTAACAAATACCTGAGATAATGAACTTATAAAGAAAAAAGTTTTATTTGGGCTCACATTTTTGGAGGCCTCAGTTCGTGATCAATTGGCCCATTGCTTTTGTGCCTGTGGTTATCATCTCTGCCCATCCTCAAGAGGACAAGAAAGAGGTGTTATTCCACATTATAAAACCAACTAAAATATTCTGATGGGAGCCGGGTGTAGCAGTACGAGCCTGTAGTCCCAGCTACTTGGGAGGCAGAGGCAGGAGGATCATTTGAGCTCAGAAGTTCAAGACCAGCCGGGGCCACACAGCAGGTTTCACCTCAAAAAAAAAATATCTGATGTGATAAAATGACAAATAAAGAATGTTAACTGCCCTGCCCAATACAGGGTATTGGGTTATAACTATAACCTCTTCTTTTTTCTTTTCCTTTTTTGCAGTACTGGGGTTTGAACTCAACCACTTGAGCCACTCTACCAGTCATATAGACATAGACTTAATCTCTAAATAGTAAGTAATTCTGAATGGCTGTCCTACTCGATTTTCTACCTGGTAATTGACATTTCTATAATTTTTTTTGTCAGTACTGGGGTTTGAACTCAGGGCTTCAAGCTTGCTAGGTAGGTGCGCTACCACTTGAGCTATGCCCCACTCCTTTTAGCTATGATTCTTTTGGAAACAGGGTCTCACTTTTTGCCCAGGCTGACCTGGACCACAATCCTTCTTTTATGCTTCCTGCAGTAACTGGGATGGCAGGTGCACACCAACAGCTTTTGCTGTTCCAATGGGGTCTTTTTGCCCAGGCTGGCCCCAAATCACATCCCTCCTGATCTTGGCTTCCTGGGTAGCTAGGATTACAAGCGTGACCACTGTCACCCAGCTCTATAATCTTAAAAAGCTGCGAATACTTGGAGTGTGTCAAATCAGATGAATATAATGAGGTATTTCCTCCTTATTTACACAAAGGTGCAATAAAACCTATGTTTAGGTTGCAGTCTCTTCTCTCTTTTAAATTAACTAACATGATTCTTTTTGCATGCTTTCACTCATTAAGAGAACTGAGCAAATAAGTCTGGTAACATGGGTGCAAACAGCAAGAAAATCAATCAAATGTTCTTTTGGTATATGACATTAATCCAACGAGATGCTTTCAGTGTCAAGATTCTTCTGTGAATGTTCACAAAGTAGGTTTGTGACATTTCCAGTCATAGTAAGTAAATGTATACAAAAGAAACAGTATTGTGTTTGGTACAAAATTGATGTTTGATAAAAATGACTCTACTCCACTGAACAACCAGTTTAGTTAGAATCCTTGCAAAATACCTTAAATTACAATAAGACTACTGTCATTCATGTACGATTTAATAGTTCCTGGATAATTCTGTTCCTAAGTATTAGTATGGTGTAGCACTACATACAAATCAGTTTTCCTTATGACTAAATCTTTAAAGTTTTTATTAACTGCATATTCTTCTAACACATTGATGGTTTGGTTGTCTTAACAATTTCCATATTACTAGGCACAAGTTTATATCAGAATACACACAGAAGATATAGTCACCAATTCTGTATATTATTTTAAGGGGTGTTGCTCCCTGGAAACCTATAATTGAAGGAAAATAATGTATGGATAAGAAACGTTCTTCTAAGCTGGGCATGGTGGTTCACACCTGTAATCCCAGCACCCAGGAGGCTGAGGATGGCAAGTTCAAGGCCACCTTGGGCTACATAGTGAGATCCTGTTTCAGAAAAACAACAACAAAAATAATAAAAAGAAATAACAGAAAAACAAGAAAAGAAAAAAATGCTCTTCTATGTGACTTCAGCATTTGTTTCATTTTCTTACATACAACTGTCCACAAAGTTAATTTCACATTGTGATTGTCCCTGATCTACAGAAAGCCGTGGGTGAATGGTCCCAAATCACCACACAGTATTAGTAGGTAATGTTTCCTGGGCACTTAGTATTGCCAAGCTCTGTCCTGAGGACTTCACATTATCAACCCTTCTCACTCTTAAAACAACCCTAGAAAGTAGGTATTATTATTATTATTATTATTATTATTATTATTTACATTTAAGAAACCACACCAAAGAGAGGTTAAATAAACTACCCAAGCTACATACCTAGCAAGTGTCGGAGCCAGGACTTTGTCTACGTATTTCATCCACGCTTAGCTATTACAGGACAGTGCTCCCCACACGCCACACAAAAACGTGGCCTGAAACAAACGCATGCTCCCTGGTTGCTAGGAGAACCTTTTTTTTACAAAACCCTCCACCTTAAAGCTCCATCCTTCTCCCGCCTTCCTCGCCCCAGTACATCTCCCCCAAAGTCCACTAAAGATTTTATAACTAGGTGGCCAGAGCATGACAATCTCCCTTGTTCAAACAGATTTTTCTGCTCAAACCCCCAATGCTTTCCGATTCTAAAAGCCTTAAAACTCAAAAAGTCCTTGTTACTGACCAGAATGAATAAAAATCTATCTTACTTTGTTTTCTAATTCAATCCATATTAAGAATGTCTGGTATGTGATTCCAAGTAGGTGTATTTGTTTTTGCTTTTATTTATTTTTATTGTTGTTCGAGGAGGGGGGCACATTGTGACATTTACAAAAGTTCTTACAATGTGTCAAATATATCATACTTGAATTCACCCCCTCTATCATTCTCCTTTATCTTCTCCTCCGTCCATTCCTGAAACAGCTTCAACAGGTGTCATTTTTCTGTTTACATACCTGTGTACACAGTATTTGCGCCAGTCACCCTCCCACGCCCTTTCCCCACCTCCTCCCCCTTCCCTTTGGTACCACCCCCTCCCAGGCAGGTCCTCTTCTGCCCGCCTGTTCTCTGATTTTGTAACTGAAAAAAAAAAAATGACATTTTTGTTTGTTTCGGATAGCTGAGGTTTTTTGGTGACATTTCCATGTATTTATGTAATATAACCCGAATTGGTTCAATCTCTATTTTTCTTCTACCTTAGTCACTTTTTTATGTTGGTTGCCACAGGTCACTGTCTAAAATAATGGTCTAAAATTATTTTCAGGAGTTGTATTTCTACATTATATGAACGCTTGGTAAAGGAAAGCCAACGGGAAGACTGGAATGACACGCGAAAAGGAACACGTAAACAATTAACCGGAAGGATGTGATAGCTACTCTGGAGAGTGGGGTCAGTCTCCAGGACCTCTGACATTCCTCTGGAAGGAAGACCGAGGAACTAGGTTAACGGATGGGGTACATTTCAGAAGCATACCAGATGTTCCTGAAAAACAAAATGCGATTTATGGAACAGAAAGAAAGCACCAACATACCTTGAATTTAGATTTTAGATATGCGGCAACGATTCTCCCCTCCTCCTCCTCACAAGCCTTCTTTGGAGAATGAATGGAAGGATAGGGGTAAAATGGGTGCCTGAGACAGCTGGCCTTGTTTGAAGACTGGAGAGCCCAGCCTCTGCGACCCTCCCTGCCCCTTTGTTCCCCCCCACCCCACCCCCCACACACGTGTCGCAGAAGAAGGCTGGAATGCTTGGGTCCTGGCTCTGGGTTCTCTGGGCTCTGATCCTGCAGCTGGCCTTCATGGAAGCCACCTTTACCTCGGCTACAGAAATCTCCTATGGTTTCTCCTGGCCCTAGCAGCCTCCCCTCTCCCTCTTCGAGCTCAAGTCCCAGATCAGGTTTCACTGGGGACCTTCATTCTGGGGTTGCGCCTTCAATGTCGCCCTGGGGAGTTTTTCTCTGTCACCGATCCCTCAGCAAAGACAAGCTGCGTCACAAGTTGGGCCCCGCATCAGGTTACAGTCGCACCAGCTCAACGTTGCACCAACCCGCAGGGACCACGCACCGGAGCCAAGTCCTACGCGCTCCCCTCCGCATGCCCACCCTGCCAGGCTCAGGAACCCCCCGCCGCAGCACCCCAGATCAGCCGATTCGGGGCTCACCATCCTCACGCCCAGCGGGGGCTCCGGCACGCGCGCGGGTCCTGCGCCTCCCCGGGGCACGGAGCGCGCGGTGGCTGACAGCGAGGGCAACGCGTGACTCACGCTGCAGAGAATAACCCGGGCTCTGCGCCCTCCGGGAAGGAGTGCAGGCCGGGCAGCCGAGGGCTCCAGCTTCCCCCCCTCCGCGGGCTTTAGGATCGGTGCCCAGGTCCTCCCGGGCCTGCCGCCTAGACTGCGGGAATGCGAGGCGCGGTCCCGAGTGCGCAGGCGTGCGGGGCCCAGCGCGTTCCCACGCCTGGTGCTGGGTGGAGGAGGGTGCGGGGCTTGAATCCCCGGGTGTGTGTGCTGGGTGGGGAGGGACCCTGAATCGCGCGGTGTGCCTGGCAGTGAGCTTCTGTGCGTGGGCGTGGATGTGCCTGCGTGTGCACCGTGTGGCTCCGTGGAGGACGCTGCGTCATCGTGGCGTCACCCTGGGAGATCACGCCTCGGTGTCAGGTGCCTGAGGCTGCAGTCACCCGTGAGCGCGTCGGTGCTGCGTCAGTGGGGCGGCTTTGATAACACCAGCCTGGTGCTGGCCACTGTTTCCCCTTAGGGGCTGTGCTTCTGGGTGTCTGTGTGACTGTGTATGAGCTGGATGTGGCATTTGATTAACTCCAGGTTGGTAAGGTGTGCCCTCGGGATTGAGACTCTGGCAATTAAGGAAAAGAATTTCAGGCAAAACTGGAAAGGAGGCCCGAGGGTAAAGTTATCATTATTTACAGGTGCTAAGATTTTAAGAATGTATACCTGGACCCATTCCAAAATGTTACAGGACTCCACAGTAACATGCGGGAGCATAAAAATCATACATACATACATATGTATGTATTGTAAAATTGTAAATATATTTATACATAAATTACATATAAATTTATATATACTTACATATTTATGTAAGTACAAATATATACTTATATATTTCAATACGTACATATAAATACATGACGAGTCATTTTAGTGGTTAAAAAAATTAAGACATCCTGCTTCACGATCAAAATTTCAGACTTCACTTAAAGCAAGAATTTTTCATCTTCTGCTCGCTCCCAAACCCACCTCCAAATATAGCTACACTGTAATTACTGGTTAAGGCAATATTTGGTATTGTATAAAAATTTTGCTTCACAGTCAAGCATATTTTTCTAAGTTTTTGATCATCCTGTATTAAACTGGCTTGTTATGTATGAATATATAGTTTGTTGTCTCTGTGTGTTCCTATTCCCTTTTTCATTTATTACAAGAAATGTGTCAAACGCAAGTAATAGTTTTTCCAAATGTTACAATTTATTCCATAACTTTTTATTCTATGCAGAATCTTTCACAGCCCTCATTTTGCATTTGGTTATATAAGGGAGCAAAGTAAAGGGAGAGAAAGGGCAGTGGTTTCCTTTTTCCAGATCCACTCCTCACCATAGTCCCCATTTGTGGAAAATGGGCAATGAGTTTTGCGCAGTAAATTGCACCAACTGTCACCCACAGGCCCTGTGTAAACAGAATCCCTTGAATTTTCTTATTCATTATAGTTTGCCCCTCCCATCTGCTTTTGTTCTTTGCTATTTTTACCCCTTTTTGAGGAGTGTCAGGAAATAAATACAAGTGGTTCACTCTTTACATCTAAGCAGAAACCTTCCCATGCTGTTTTCTAATGGTAAGTTTATTAAAAAACAAAACAAAGCACTAGTTTTGTGTCCTCATTGTTTTCAATTTTGTTTCACTTTAGACTCACTTTCATCAAGCTCTCCTGACTGCTGCCTGTCCCATCAGAGTCTTGGTGGTCTTATCACTCATTGCTCTAGTGCTTCTGTCCTGAGACTCATTTAGAAGTCTTTCCCAGGAACTTGGCATTGGCGTTTTAAGAGTATATGTATTTATTTTCCAGGGCAGCCCTCAATTTTTTGTTTCCACACTATTAAGTTCATATGATGGATCTCTGGGGAAAGCTATATAAACCATGCTGTGTCATGTCAGTGTCTTGCTTTAGCACTGTAACTATTTGTTTTTAATTGTGGACTGTTATAGGTTGTATAAATCTTCTGTTCCTCATTACTTTTCACCGCTAATTTGAGTATTCACTAAGGATCCTTGCCTAAGTCAACTATTACTTGATGTTGCAAAGTAGTGATTTTTCTAGTTTTTTCTTTTTTACATTTATTAAGATTGTGCCCTAAAGAAGAGCTTTCTCTTGCTCGTTTATTTAATCAGTGGTTAAATATGGACTCACAACTTCTTATTTATGGCTGTTCATTACTGCTATTTTTTTATACTCAAATTATTCCAAATTTGGCTCATGGGAGCCCCTAGGTAGCTATCATTATCATTTTGAAACATTCTTATAGTTTTTTAGTAATCCCTTACTTTCTGGTGCAAACAAGATGGGGGCATCTTTTAGTTTTCTTTCTCTAGTCCTGTAATCAGGAGCTTTGGTTCTTTTTAATGAGGAATATTATTTAGAAGCCCAACCTTGAAAATACAGTGTTTTAAGAAATAATGTTAAAGTCTCCAGATATATTCTTAATAAAACCAGTAGGCCATTATCATCACATGCAAATTCTTGTAAAGAGTGTCAAAAGTCAGCTGGGAGTGATGACTTACGCTTGTAATTCTAGGTACTTGGGCTGCTGAGTTAAGGAGGACTGTGGTTCAAGGCCAGCCTGGGCAAATAGTTTATAAGACCCCCATCTCCAAAATAACCACAGCAAAATAGACTGGAGGTGTGGCTCAAGCAGAATGCCTGCTTTGCAAACATGAAGCACTGAGTTCAAATCCCAGGCCCACCCCTCCAAAAAAGAATGCTAAAGTCAACAAATGGAATGTTGTTCCTGTTTCCAGAAATGAACAGAAACATGCAGGGGCATAAAAATCATATACATCTTTTTTCTCTACCTGTACCTGCAAATGTTTCATTGTGAGTTTGTACACTGCACATTGTTTTAACAACTAAACTGCCTCTAAAATTTAATATTTGATTATTTGTTCTACTCTCATTAAATCCAAAATAGTTTCACAGTTTCGTTTTTTTTTTTTTTGGTGGTTATTTTTGAGATAGTGTCTTACTCTTTGCCTGGGCCATCCTAAACCACCATCCTTCTATCTGTGTTTTCCTGAGTAGCTGGGTGTCAACACGCTCAGTCATTCATTCAGATGGAGGTCTTGCATTTTGTCTGGACTGGCCTCAAACCACCTCCTAAGCGACCAGGATTATAGGCTACCTTTTGAGTTTTTAAGACAATTATGTCATCCATTTGTAATGATCATTTGTTTCTTTGCCTTCTAAAACTTCTGGTGTCTTCTTGTATTACTTTATTTGGTATGATTTTCATTTCTCTACTTTAACAGAAATATAAGTCTGAAAATATTTCACCGTCTTCTATTAAAATAGTGCAAATGACAACAAATAGCATTTACTACTTAAGTTAATCAAAGGATTACTTTGAGAAAAGTAATCTACAGCCTGTGTCCATAAAAACCAAGTTTTAAAAATTAACAGGTTAATAAAATTAATAAAATTAATTTATCCAAATTAATAATTTGGATAAATCTTTTAGAGAAGTATAGTGAATGAAAAAATAATCCTTAAAGATTATGTTCTGTGTGATTCCTAATTTAAAGTTGATAATTTTGTGTATTTATTTATTGCTATTTTATTTTAGGGACAGTCTTGCTGTGTTGCCCAACTGGCCTTGGATCCCTGGGTTAAAGTGACCCTCCTGCCTCAGCCTCACGAATAGCTGGGACTACAGACGTGGGGCACTGCAGCTGTGACTCCATTTAAACAGCAGCTTTGAATAACAAAATTAATAGCGAACAGATGCGGGGTTGGGGGATTGAGGAGAGTGAGGCAGTTTGAAGCAAGTGCACGGTGTTTATTGAAGGGTAACGTGAGGAACCTTTGTGATGATGGAAATGATCTGAGTCTTGGCTATCAAAGTGTACACTATAGGGGCTGGTGAAATGGCTCAGGTGGTAACAGCACCTGCTTAACAAGTATGAAGCCCTGAGTTCAAACCCCAGCACCACCAAAAAAAAAACCCAAAAAAAAAAAAAGTGTACACTATAGTCCTTTAAAAGGTTACCACTGGGAGAGACTAGTTTAAGGACAGACAGAACGTCTCTGTATTATTTCCTAGAACTGCATATAAATCTACAATTATCTCAAAATAAAAAAATTAAAGAGTGCTTACTTGGGCAGCCCTGAAGTTGGAATGATACAGAAAGATTAGTATAGACCCTGCACAAGGATGACACACAAATTTTCAAGTTGTTGCATATTTTTAATAAAAAACAAAAAAGTAAAGAAATTTAAAACAATGGACAGGATATAGTGTTTTCCAAAAAGCAAAAGTTATGATGGAATTTGTGACCAAACAACCTGATGTGATAAGCAGAATTCTTCATGCTGAATGAGCCCAGATGTTAGCATTGAACTACAACAATGAAGAACATTCTACGATTTAAGTAAGTGGGGAGATATAAATGAACATTGTATAAAGTAATAACTATGAACTGTCATGAGGGATTATAACATATACAGACGTAAAATATATGATAGAAATAGCAAAAAAACAGACTGGGTAAATGGAATTAAACATTTTTTAAGTAACTGGCATTGTTTGAAATGTGGTTAAAATACTAATTTAGATTTTTATATTATAATCCTAGGGTAACCACTGAAAAGCTGTGTAACAACACAAATAGGATAAAGTTTAAATCAAATACATATGGGGCAATAGATAACAAGTGCAAGTATGGTAGACTCAGAATAATAACACTTGCGTTTGTTTAGTAAGAACCTTCTACCCCACCCCCACCACCCCAACCCACCAAATTAATGGGTTAAAGCCTGTGTCAGGTGGGATAGTGGTGAACACCTGTAATCTCACTACTTAGAAGGCTGAGAGGCAGGAGGATTGCAAGTTTGAGGCCATCCTGGGGTACACAGTGAGACCCCATCTTAAAAAAAGATGGATAAACTTTGGCAAAAATAATTAAGAAAAAGGAGACTAAACTCACAAATATCAAATGTGGAAAAGATTTACACATCTTAAAGAGTAAATTAAAAAAAAAAGGTTGGGGAAGCCTAATGTGGTGGTTCATGCCTATAATCCCAGCTGCTCAGGAGGATGTCAACAACAAAAGGGCTGAGGACACAGCTGAAATGATAAGTGTTTATCTAGCACGCACATCCTGGGTCAATCTCCAGTATCGCAAAAGAAAGAAGAATGGTGGGGAGGC